AGAACAGACTTTTGGACTCTGTGGGAGAAGGCGAGGGTGGGATGTTTCAAGAGAACAGCATCGAAACATGTATATTATCTAGGGTGAAACAGATCACCAGCCCAGGTTGGATGCATGAGATAAGTGCTCTGACCTGGTGCACTGGGAAGACCCAGAGGGATCGGGCAGAGAGGGAGGTGAGGGGGGATCGGGATGGGGAACACATGTAAATCCATGGCTGATTCATGTCAATGTATGACAAAACCCACTACAATATTGTAAAGTAATTAGCCTCCAACTAATAAAAAAGAAAAAGAAAAACAGAAAAACTTTGTAAGAAATTAGTTATAAAATCAGCAGTATTTGATCCAACCACATGGGGGCAGCATCTATAAACCCTCCTCTCTTGAAAATAACCTGAGTAAAACAGTGGTAAGCCTGATTGGCTGCCTCGAACTGCGGTCACTCCTTGCACCTTTCTTTCCAAAGAGCAGTGACAACCCATGTTTCTGTGGATTTGGAAGAAGCTTCTACAAGGAAAACCCTTTAGGAGCAGGTATATTCAGCTACTCTTCCTGACGAGGAAGAAAAGGGAGATGCTCATAGCACCAATGTTAATCTTATGGATGCAAATATCACGTGAGTTTGGGGTTTCCCTGATTGCTCCCAGAAAATTCAGCATAGAGGAATCTTATCTGCAGACAACTGGAGGAGTGGGATTTTCTGATTGAGAGCAAAGTTGTGAAAAAACACAAAAATTATAAAGTAGGAAGATAGAGGGAGTTGAAGAGGGAGACTTGAAACAAAGGAGAAAAATACGCACGAATGAGAGAGAACAGCGTAGTTGACGAATTAGACATCTAACCAAATTTTCTCTGATGCTTCCTTCTGTTTTTCTGAACAGAAATGAATGGACAACAGATAAAGCATTTTCCTGAATTCTTGCTTCTACAAGAAGGAGAGAACTTCACTACATACTGCAATTTCACGAGCAACTTTTACAACTTACAGTGGTATAAGCAGAGGCCTGGGGGCAGTCCTGTCCTCTTGATGATATTAGCTAAGAGTGGAGAAGTAAAGACGCAGCAGAGACTGACAGTTCGGTTTGGAGAATCCAGACAGCACAGCTCCCTGCACCTCACGGCTGCCCAGCCCTCAGATGTGGGAACCTACTTCTGTGCGGGGCACAGTGCTCTGGAAGCATCTGCTGTCTGTCCCCAAACCTCACTGTGGGCTCCAGGGGCCGCCCCTCCTCAACTCCCCTCAGAGCAGGGGCCAGAGAAAGCTGAAGTCATGATGTCGACGAAGAAACTGAATTTTTAATTTAAAAAGTCCCTGGACTCAGACAGTGTTACTGAAGAATTCTGTCAAACACTGAAGAGGAATTAGCATGAATTATACACAATTTCTTCCAGAAAATAGAAGAAAATAAGTTCTCACTCATTTTTTGAAACTAGTATTATTTTAGTACCAATATTTTTAAAGTGTCACAAAAAGAAAACTACCGAGAACTATCCTTCATGAATATAGATACCTGTTTGGGTAAAGAATCTGAAAAAAGTGAATATATGTATATTTGTGACTGTATCACTGTGCTGTACACCTGAAACCAACACAATATTGTAAATCAATTCAGTTCAGTTCAGTTCGGTCGCTCAGTCGTGTCCGACCCTTGAACCTCAGCATGCCAGGCCTCCCTGTCCATCACCAACTCCCGGAGTCCACCCAAACCCATGTCCATTGAGTTGATGATGCCATCAACTGTCATCCTCTGTTGTCCCCTTCTCCTCCTGCCCTCAATATTTCCCAGCATCAGGGTCTTTTTAAATGAGTCAGTTCTTCGCATCAGATGGCCAAAGTATTGGAGTTTCAGCTTCAACATCAGTCCTATCAATGAACACCCAGGACTGATCTTTTGGATGGACTCATTGGATCTCCTTGCAGTCCAAGGGACTCTCAAGAGTCTTCTCCAACACCACAGTTCAAAAGCATCAATTCTTCAACGTGCAGCTTTCTTTATAGTCCAACTTCCACATCCATACATGACCACTGGAAAAACCATAGCCTTGACTAGATGGACCTTTGTTGGCAAAGTCATGTCTCTGCTTTTTAATATGCTGTCTAGGTTGGTCATAACTTTTCTTCTCTGCTATATAATCATTAGCTCTGGGCTTAAAGAAGAAAAGCAAAAACAAAAATGTTTTATGTAACTAAGACTAAGATTGTTTGTCCTTTTCTCCTCCCTTTCTCCTCATTGGGAACCAGACTTCTTACCCCAACCTACCTAAGAATTAACTCTCTCAACATGACTGAGTCAACTGAGTGAGCACACACACACAGAGAAGCAGCACATAGATCCATCTCATCAGGAAAGTCTCAGACAGACCAAAAGTGAAAGCCCATGGCTCATTCCACCACAACTCCCATGGTCCTCTGAGAAAACCAGTTCTGATAGGTTATGATACCAGCCCATTCTGTTTCAATAAGTATGTCTTTGCAGATCATTTTATGCAACTACGTATACATTAACAGGGCTTCCCTGGTGGCTCAGTGGATAAAGAGTCTATCTGCAGTGTGGGAGAACGGTGTTCAATTCCTGGCTTAGGAAAATCCCCTGGACAAGGAAATTGGCAACCCACTCCAGTATTCTTGCCTGGAGAATTCCATGGACGGAGGAGCTACAGGCCATGAGGTCTCAAAGAGTCAGACACAACTGAGTGATTAACACTATACAGTAACACACACATGCACTCATATGTGTACACATACATGGACACACAGAATTTGCCATGTAAGCTGGATTAATTTAATTTTTCCAACTTACCTTTTTATTTTCATTTAATGGTGTCCTGGAGATATTTCTATAATTTAAAAATGTAAAGAGGTTTACTTTATCCTTTTTGATACTGACTTAGTACTTTGAAACATTTCGTTATTTAATTAATTGTTCTCCTATCAAAGCAGATGTGTTTCTGTTTCTTTGCTGTCATAGAGAATATCTTATACATCTATGTACATACAATTTTATGTATGTAGAAGTGTATATTTAATGAAATTTATGAAATTGTAATTGCTATGAAAGTGAAAGAAAGTCACTGTTTTTCTAAAGAAGTGAAAGTGAAAGTTGCTTAGTCATGTCTGACTCTTTGTGACCCCATGGACTGTAGCCCACCAGGCTCTACTGTCCATGGGATTATCCAGACAAGAATACTGGAGTGGGTTGCCATTCTCTTCTCCAGGGGATCTTCCTGACCCTGGGATCAAACCTAGGTCTCCTGCATTGCAGGCAGATTCTTTGTCTTTTGAGCTACCAAAGAACCTTAAAGAAAAGCACGTGTAAATGAAGACAGTAACTATTTGCCCTCCAAATGGTTTAAACAATTATAATTCAATTAACAGTGAATGAGCAGGTACATTTTGCATTCTCTACAAATTGGAAATTACTGGTGTTTTTTATTTTAACAATCCAAGCATATTTTACCTACATACATTTTTTTTGAACCCAAGTGCTTTTAAGCAACTTTTTCTCCATGAATTGGCACTCTGTTATTTAACACTGATCATAACCTTATTTCTATTTTTTGATCATTTTTCTTTAAGGTTTTCTCTTTTTATTTATAGAAATTATTTCTATATCTTAATATTTTGATTTTATATTTTTGCATATTTTGTTCTAACATACAAACTTTTATTTTGCTTATGTAGTAATGTGGTTGTCCTTTATTCTTACATTGTCAAGTCAAGTATTTATTCCACTTTGACTTCAAAGTAAAGAATCTGCCTGCAATGCAGGAGGCAAAAAAGACCAGGTTTGATCCCTAGATCAGGAACATCCCCTGGAGGAGGAAATGGCAACCCACTCCAGTATTCTTGCCTGAAAAATCCCTTGGACGGAGGAGCCTCTCATGCCACATCCATGGGGTTGCAAAGAGTTGGACATGACTGAGAGACTTTCACTGCTGCTTACTGACCCATGCCATATGACTCAGAAAATATGATACAACTTCATAAACAACACAGCGCACACTCAACCACAAATGCAGTTTACACAGACACTTCACTGCTCAGCATGCTTGTTGAGGATACCAGAAATGATAAGATGGTATGAGCAGTTTACACAGACACTTCACTGCTCAACATGCTTGTTGAGGATACCAGAAATGATAAGATGATATGTTCTTTATCTTCTGTTATCTTGGCTAAAAATGGTAAATTTTAAAGGTCATATTTTCATGTCTGATCAGGTCACCAGACTTATTTAAATCTTGATACTTGTGCATACCAAATTAAATTGGAAGAAACAGAAGCACCATTGAAAGCAAGCCACTTTTCAGTAAGGAAATTCCAACATTTCCCTTCCCTGCTGCAGGTTTCGTAGCCTAGAGAAGGTGAAAACATGACTTCCTCACATTTTAAGTAGACTTAGAATGAAAGAGAAATTAACGCTGTGATATTAGGCTACTCTTATAGTTTCTACTATCTGAAAGTGACTAGAAAAGCCCTGGAGTCTGCCAACATTTTAATTAGGGTCAAGGAAGAGCAACTCAACAGAGCAGGTTTCAGGGGACAATGGTGGAAAAGAAAAAACGTATTCTCTACTTGTACTCTACTGGGTTCAATCCGTTAGACTGTCAATAAGAAGAATAAAAAGAAAGTAAATTACTTTTTTACCTCTCCACAGGAGGGCAGTATTTCAAAAGGCAAAGTCATTCCCAGAATCAAGATAGAGTTTGAGGTTGGATGAAACTGGAGTCGGGGTGGAAGGTGAATGATTCAGTTGGCTGACGCAAAGAGGTTTGTACCTTTTTACTGAGATCAAAGTGGGTAGCAAGTGTTGCTATAGCCCAGAAAAGCCTCTTTCAAGAGGGAATCTTTCAAGGAAAACTAAAATCAGGGACTGTAGCCACCAAATGATAAGAAGAAAAGATGCTCCTGAAACTCCTGGTGTTGGTCTTTTGGATTCAACTGGCATGTGAGTTTAAGAAGTTACTGATTACACGAATAGAAAATCCTCCACAGATGAAAAATCCTTGAAGGCAGGTTATTTTATGGTAAAGAGTAAAAGGAAATGTTAGGAAGGAAAGAAGAAAGGGAGAAAGCAAGAGAGGAACAAGGGAGAAAATAATCATTTCGGGTTGGGAAGGAGGCCCTAATTCCTTTCCCTGCTGCATTCTGTTTTGCTTCTAACCAGGGGAGAGCACCCAGCAGCTGGAGCAGAATCCGCAGTTTCTATGTATCCAGGAGGGAGGAAATGTCACCATGCACTGCAACGTCTCAAGCACCTTCACCTTCTTTCGGTGGTACAGACAGAAGCCCAAGGAAGGGCCTGTCCTTTTGATGACATTAACTAAACCTAAAGAAATGAAGGAGCAGAAGAGAATAAGGGCTCAGTTTGGTGAGGCAAGAAAGGACAGCTCGCTGCTCATCACTGCAGCCCAGCCTGGGGATGCAGGCACCCACCTCTGTGCAGGGGCATGGTGCTCCAGGGTCTCCTGCTGCCTGCACACAAACCCTGATGCAGGCTCCCAGCCTCACAGCTGCCTCACTCCTCCAGCTCCACCTGACACATCTTTTCTCATGGAGGAGAACCGTTTCTGCTGCCTTTCCAGAACATTTCCCACATACCCTGGGGGACAAGATTCATCTGCTCTAAGGCAAGCTTCTGGAAATGTAACTCATCACTCAAGTGAGTGGGCTTCCCAGTGGTGAAGAATCTGCCTGCCAATGCAGGAGATGTAAGAGATCTTATGTCTTCTGGGTCTGGAAGATCCCCTAGAGTAGGAAATGGCAGCCCACTCCAGTGTTCTTGCCTGGAGAATCCCATGGACAGAGGATCCTGACAGGCTATAGTCCATGGGGTAGCAAAGAGTCAGACACGACTGAGCACATGGACATGCACGCACTTAAGTGAGTAAAAATAAAGGTTTACAAAATATCACACACTAAAGCATATACATGGAATCTAGAAAGATGGTACTGAGGATCCTACATGAATTACAGCAAAGGAGACGCAAACATAAAGAACAGACTTTGGGACTCAGTGGGAGGAGAGGGTGGGATGATTTGAGAGAACAGCACTGAAACATATACATTGCCATATGCAAAATAGACAGCCAGTTGGAGTTTGATGTATGACACAGGGACCCAGAGTTGATGCTTTGTAACAACCTGGAGGGATGAGGTGGGGAGGGAGGTGGGAGGGTGCTTAGAAGGGAGAGGACAGATGTATGCCTATGACTGATTCATGTTGATGTATGGCAAAATCCAATATTTACAGCTTCTCAGG